GACTGGGGTTAATGGGAGAAGTGGCTGCAGCTGTGACAGGTGAAACAGAGAGCAGGTGTAGATGGGCGTGGCAGGCTGGCTGGAGAAACACTGACTGAGGAAGAACTGGCAGTCAAAAAACAACCAAAAACTTGTTTAAAAGTGACATACATTCTTCAAGGACCTTAATTTTATGGAACAATTACATGAGTCTTCTCTCACTTAACAAAACCTTCACATGTTGAATGATTTTCTGTATGCATTTTTGTTAATGAGTCAATGTTCTGAGCTGTAAGTTGGTGAGAGTGTAAAGAAGAGGCAACATTTAGCCCAAGTCATCTTGTTAACATATTTACAACGACTGTCTATTGATAAGGTGTTGATCTTCTCTGGGTTCTGCAAATTATCATGCCAACACGTTCGTCACAAACACGGCATCATTAGAGGTGCAGGAATTACAATATGAAGCAAGGTGCACCTTCGACTTCCTGCTGGTTGAACAACGTAAATGGAATCAATTATTTAAGGTATCGTAATTCATGTCGCCCGCTGCTTTTATGCCACAGTTTTAAACTAAGATCATCATGCTGAGGAAGAAAACAGCAGAAATATCTCTATTTCTTTATCCAGTAACGTCATCGTAAATCAACACCATGTAGGTGGTGAGAGGAATAAACTGGTTTATTACAAGTGGAAAAAATAAATAAAAAATTGGAGTTCAACTTCAGCTAAAAGTTGTATTTGGGATTCAGTTGAGTATTTTAAACTGATTTTAAAGCGAGATTTCGTCCGAGAGAAGTCGATGGATGTGCAGCAGTGACTGGGATCCAGTCTGGCCCAGTTCTGTCCCAGCTGTCGGGACTGAACTTTCCTGAACTGGTGAAGCCTTCAGCTCTGAGTGTGGTGTGACCTCTGCTGGATAAACTGGAGTTAGCTCCAATGGTTTCAGCATTTCAGCCAGCGTTCGTGTCTGAATGTGTTTTACAGACGGACAGATTTTTGTTTTATTGTTAGCACAGGCTTTCCGAAGGTTTCGATCCATTATTCAAGTAACATTTGAACTACAAATGTAAAGAAAATTAATAACCTAGCATTTCTTGAAGGAATGCATATCACCCACTGCCTTTCATGCAGGAGTTTCAGACTAAATGTTGAGAAACCATGGAGGTAAATCTGTTTTAGTCAAACCTCATAAATGACATTCTGTACGATCTCATGCGTTATTGTGAAATCTCACTAAATGTGTCAGAGCTCAGAGCATGTGTTGAAGGTGACTGTCAGCTACTACCACACCTAATTTTAGCTCGATATCCATAAAAACTCCAGACAGGTTGACTAGCTGCAGCTTGATTAAAACCAATTAGCCAATGAACCCTTTAAAATAGTTTAAATAAAATCAGTCCGTCGATTCATGAGATATTTTGCTAAAACTTTAAACAAATGAACACATGAGCAAAAAGCATGATTGACTTCGACGGTAACATCATTTTCCTGATTTGAGGGAGAAAACCAGCCAGTCAGACACTTTTTGTCATGGAAAACAAAAAAGCAGAACAAAACAGGTGCTTTACAGGTTTGGTTAAGTTGGACGTTGCAGGCTCATCTTCTCACCGTTTGCTTGTCTGAATTCATCTTTTAGATTAGAAATGCTCCTCTTTGAGGATTTAATTACACTCATTAGGCCTGAGTGTCCCCTGCAGTGTGAGGACATTAGTATCAATATAGGACACATTATTAACATCTTTAAAATTAAGACTATTTACCATTTTTTGGACTATAAGGCACACTTAAAATCCTTTAATTTTCTCAAAAATCAACAGTGAGCCTTATAATCCAGTGCACCTTATGTATTAATTCCGGTTGTGCTTACTGACCTCGAATCGATTTTATTTGGTTATTGTGAATGAGTGGAATAAAGTTTGACTTTTTTGTTTCACTTAATATGGGGGCCGAGATGGTGTAGAGGCAGGGCAGCTGGCTCGGGACCTGAAAGTCCCAGGTTTGATCCCGGGTCACTGCATACCTCGTGGTGTCTCTGGGCAGCACACCTTATTCTCAAAAATGCTCCACAGGCGCTTCCAATAGCTGCCTACTGCACCCCCTGGTGGTGGATGGATTAAATGCAGAGACTAATTTCGCCCTTGTATGGAAACATACAGTGATGACATCATCACCATCATTATTATTATTAATGTGCCTTATAATCCAAAAAATATGATAATAGAACTCACTCTTGAAGATCCCTTAACGTGAGGTGGTCCTTTATCTTCTGACTTACAAAAGGCACACAAATCAACATCAAATGTAAATCTTTTTCAAGAAACATGGCTACAGGATATATTTTATTGATTATTTTTAAATGATTCTCCTTCACTGTAGGAGATTTAGGCAATTTAGCAAATTTAGAATGATCAGAAGTCATTATGGTTCTATGATTTATATTGGGAGGTTTCTTGAAGGAATCTTTGTTCAATCCTTTCATTGATAATCTTGTTATTGTATTTGAAGTGAACCAAGTTAGTCATTTAATTTTAATGTTGGCATCAAAATGATCACCTTTGAATTTATATTTTTTAATTAATTGAATCAAAGCTCAGAGGATTGCTTTCGATATGTACCTTCTTAAAATATATTTGACAGCTTAGGTTATATTCTCCAAGAAAAGATGAGAAATTTTAAAGATCTCCATCACAATCTAAAATATCCTTTACCAATCTTTTCTAAATAATGACTTCCAACCAACTGTGATTGATCTGTTATTCCACAAAGTTGATCCATGAGGTGAGAAATGATGTTGAAATATCGTTTTCCAGAACTGAAGAACTTGTTTGTGGAAGTTTGATAAGTGAACTGGAATCTAGCCACTTCAGAATCACACTTCACAAACACCTTTGGAACATTTTATAAGACACATTGAGCTGGTTCAACCTTGTATAATTAATACTTCGGTATTTGTACTTAATACTTGAACATGTTTTGCTTTGATACTGTTTAATAAATTCTATAACATGTTTTTTAATACAAAGCTTGTTGTACATTTATTCAGACATATGCTTAAAAGTCAAAATACTGTAAATTGATGATTGTACTAACCAGTGTACAGAATACCCACTACAAGAACACAGACTACACCACTGGTCCTGTGTGTCAGTGCTGACGTCACTCTACTGGGCTCCATCATGAGACTGTGCGCAGGTTAAGTAGAAAGAAAATGTCCAGAAAAAAAAAGCTCCGGAGAAGAGACGGCATTGTTTACTAAGGTGACTCTGGTCAGAGTGTGAAATTATAACGATGTGATAAAGTCTGCTGTAGCTTTGTACCGTCTGAGCAGAGAACAATGAACTGTGGCTGCAGGCCCCGCAGAGATTATCAGAGGTCGTGTGTGACGATCCGCGCTCCTGATGTTTCCACTTACAGCTGAAAGTGGAGCAGAACACAACATGTACTTGATTCCCCACAGAATAACACAGCTAGAGGACTTTTCAAGTACTTCTGGGTACAAATACACCTCAAGGTCTGTCATTCAGGCAAACTTACAGGACTTCTATCTTTTACATTTTGAAATCTCTGCAGGTCTAGTTTACTCTGTCTGGTTATTGAATGTATTTATCTGCCAAAATTAATAAATATAAAAGATCTTCATAATTTTTTTTAGGAAATAATTTCACCAATTTCCCCTGTGTGGACTATTTATTAGGAGCTGTTTAAGATGCATTGCACACGAAAAAAAACTACAATTTTCAAGACTAAACTGGTTAAAATATAACTAAAGCATCTAAAAAGTAACAAAACATAAACATCATCTTGCATCAAAGCTGCTTCAAATACAGTAAATTTAATATTACCAAGATTATTAACAACACTGATCTTTAATTAACCACTTCTCTTATGTTAGGAGTAATTTAGAATATGTTAGCAAGGGTGTTAAATATTATTGTGTTCTAACAAAAGTGAATAACTCATTTATAAACCAAGCAAGATAAAGGAATAGTTCATATTTTTTTAAAGTGAGGTTCTGTGGAAAGTCTAAAACATTTGTCTTAAAACTTTTTTGAAGCATATTATGGAGAATTTATTTTTTTTTATTCTGCATGAATGTCTGATGTTTTTTGTTCTCGTTGTGAGGATTGTTCAAACCCGAATTGTTTATTTTATTTTTTAATAAGGGGCAGATTTTATAAGAATTTTCTTCTTACTGCACCCTTTTCATTCGTTTTTTTTTTTTTAATTGATGAATTTATTTTGTTTCTTTTCAATTAAATGAATAAATAACAATAACGACAACAACAACAAAATCTGATTGGATTGATGAGCTAATGGCTAGTCTGAGCAAGATAGAAACCAGGTCCAAATGTACAAAAAAAATGATTAAATAAAACCATTTTCATGTTATTTCAGATGACTGTTTATGCATCAGTGATGTCAAACATCAGTGGAGGGTATAATAAAAAAAAATCCTCTTAATTGACTCATTTCTCAGTGTAAAGGTAAAGAGGCCATTTGTTTATGAATGAAAAGGAATTTCAAAGTTCATTACAAATAGCAACTCTAGGACGTCACCTTCTGACTGTTCAAAACCATTGTACATTTAGTTTTCATTTGTTCTGCTCATGTTGTTCAGCTTAGTTTTCTGTTCACATGTGTACAGTACCAGTATGTTTTAGTCTGATATGTAAAATAAATTATTTTAACAGCTTCATCAGTTTTCTTGGGTTTTTCTGAACTTTAAAGGTGGAACATCAACTTTTGCCTCCTGTGCAGAAACAATGTCAGGCCTAAACTTTCTTCATTCTCTGTTGGTGAAACGTGTCTGTGGAGGAACCAGGTCAGCTTCCAGTACCACCTGTTGACTGAAAAAAGAATCATGCACTGTTTCTGCAAGTGACAGTGGTCACAGTTCTAAAACTGTGTCAGTCTTATAAATTTATATATTTGTATTTTCTTTATTTAGAGTGTTTCGTCGTTCAAAGACAAAACGGCTGAACAATAAGATTTTATTGATAGAAACAGAAAATGTTGACGTCATAATAAATCAAATAATCTAAATGATCGGCTACACGGATCAGAACCCTTAAGCTGAACCCAATCTGTCACTGAAGCTTGCTGACTCTTTTTCCTTAATGGCTACTGGTTCTTCCTGCAGTAAATGCTTGCAGAACCTCAGTCCAGAATGTTGACGGCACCGCAGCTTCCTGTCCTTGGTAATTTGAACTCCAGATGAGGATCCAGGATATCAGCCGTCAGGTCTCATCGTGTGACTGCAAGTAAATTGGCTTGGCCTGCTTCCAGAGGCGCTGCTGGGCTCGCAGTTTCCTGCCCTTCTGAGTGGCCAGTCCCAGCGGGGGGATGTGCATCTGCAGGAACGTCGATGAACCAAAACACAGCTTAGTCAGAAAAAAATATATATTTCACACATATTCAAAAATAATTACTCCTTTTCTAACTGATTATACTTACAGGTCTTGGATACGGATTTCTGTAATGTATACCTTCAAAATAAAAGAGATTATCTGCAGCAACTGCCAACATTACACCAAAATCATTATGTAAGAAATGAAGTAAATTAATTGCTGTTATTCTAGTGTTGTACTTGTTAACCAGCTGGCATTAAAACTTTAAGATAATCTTGCAGCATCTCTTCAGTCGTACCTATTTCTATCCTTGCTTCACATTCTTCTATACATCGCTTGATTGATTCTGGATCGGTGAGCTGAGAAAAGAAGCCGCGACAGTATTAGTTTTACAACTGGCCAGGAGTTATTGCTCCTCCTGGGTTTGAGAGCCGAGGGGTTCAGACCTGTTGGTTTTGTCGGAAAAGAGTGCGGGCCTCTTGCATAATGTACTTCCTCTCGGTCTCCGTGTCGTGCTGAACGCCACTCTGTGCCTGCCAGGTCCGAGCGATCCGAAACACGCGCGTGTAGAGGGACAACACCGTCCTGCGTGCGGACACTGCCATCAGGGCTCAAATCTGAGAAGAGAACATTGTGAGCAGATTAAAAGCACAACAAATACTGTACTGCAGTATTCTGTTGTCTGACAGTCTGCGTATGTAAAACATATACAAATGGTAACTACCAGTAAACCTACCAGTACACCCACTAGCAAGAAGTTACATGATCAAACTATTTGTTGACTAGCAGTTAGATATCACAGTTTACTCATCGTGTTCACTGTATTAAACTTTCCAATAATTTTCAGTCAGGTCATCTGGACAGTTTCTTTTTTTTTGCTGAAACGTTTCATCTTCCATCCAGAAGGCTTCATCAGTCAAGGAAACACACAACACAAAACTGATTCTTCCCCTAAACAGCTTACTCCAAAGTGGAACAAACCAGTTATGTTGGTGCTAAGACGGTGTCTTTGGCACGCTCCCTCCTGTGGTGCCGGCCCTCTTCCTCGTCGACAGTCATGTCAAACTTGTGTGTTTCCTTAACTGATGAAGCCTTCAGGATGACCTGACTGAAAATTGGTGGATTGTATACCTGGATTATTGAGCATGGACTTTTTTGGTTTTGAACCAGTTTGACATGACTGTTGATGAGGAAGAGGGCTGGCTCCAGAGGAGGGGACATGCCAAAGACACCATCTTAGCACCAACATAACTGGTTTGTTCCACTTTGGAGTAAGCTGTTTGGGGGAAGAATCAGTTTTGTGTTGTGTGTTTCCTTGACTGATGAAGCCTTCTGGATGGAAGGTGAAACGTTTCAGCAACAAAAAAAAAGAACCTGTCCAGATGACCTGACAAAAAAATGTTCGATTGTATACCTGGATTACTGAGCGTGGACTTTGTTGTATTAAACTTTGTTTGTTAGTTCTTTGTTAAAGCCCTGCCTTAATTTGAGGTGTCACTGCTGCTGCAGTAATAAGAACTAATTTTACTTTTTTAATTTTTTTTTATTAAAATTGCACAATTTGTTTTCTTGAAAAGCTGTAAATACTGCTTCGAATCTGTATTTACTTTTTCTTTGTTACTTTTTTTTGTACTCTATTAACCCCCCAATGGGGAAATTAACTCTCTACATTTTTCCCATTGCACGTGAGCACATGTGAGGCGGTGGGCTGCCATCTGGGGTGCCCGGGGAGTAGCTGGTGGGGGTTAAGGGCCTTTCTCAAGGGCCCAGGGTGGGGCAAATGAGGGTGGAGGCAGGTGTGGGTGCTTCACCTTTTCCACCCGCATTTTGATGTTGTCAGCCTGGGGAGTTGAGCAGTCAACCCTCCAATCACAGGCCCATCCTCTCTAACCTCTGCACCACCGCTCCCCCCAGAAAGGTCCAGCAAGGGAAATGATATGAATAGTTTTGTTTTTTATTATTTCACTGACGGATCAAATCCTACGAGAGAAAATCTATAGTTTTCAGAAAAACACAAAATTAGGATAGAATAAAGCTCCCGTCCTTCAGCCTTCAGTTGACTAAATAAATACAAAAACTTTGTATTTTTAAAACTAAAACCATTATTTTTAAATTGCTGGTCTAGTTGCACACAAAGTCATCACTCTGTGGTTACTTCTGAAAGTCTCGTCCTCTCCAGGATTCACTTTTTATACAACAGCAATGTCAATGACATGTTAGGAATAAAAATAATTAATCAGTTGTTACATGTTGGTTATATTCTAAACGAGCTCATTTCATTAAACAAATATTTGCTCACTTCTTTACTGAGTGGATGAACTTATGAACATGTTGAACATAATTAATGTCCATGATCAGCTCTCATTTAAAAAAAAATAAGACTTTTAATCTCAATGAGATGATGCCACTAAATTGTTACATAATAGACTTGGCCGTTTTTAGAGAATGCATGCGATGTGGTTAAATCAAGAGATGGTAAAAATAAAGCACATTTAACCTGATTGTTAAAGAAATTTCTTAAAATTTACACACGACGTGAGATAATTTGTCAAATTTAAAAGGTTTAAATGTTTAAGGTAACCCAAGTTACATTAATAAAGTGCGTCCTATTAATGCTACTCGCGACATAATTAAAATAAAAATTAAATGCAAGACCTTCAGCTGATTGTGTCTCTTATTTGATCTTTCTTCTTCTTCCCGTTTCTTCTTCTTCTTCTTCTTCTGTTAGGCAATAGCCTTAAGGACTGATACCGCCACCTTCTGGATACACTGGGAATTGC